TCCACATGTCCTGGAAGAAGCCGATTAACCAATTTGCAAAGTACTACTCCATCTTTCAGAGAAGCTTTCAGGAACTGCTCTGGATCACCTATCATCTTTTTGGGGGAATTTAAAACTCCTAATGAAATAAGCCATGTCACAATTCGCTCTTCTGGATTCATCGTTAAGAATTCTGCCTTCACTGCAGAAGTTTAGTGCAGCTACGAGCTCTAACCCACATCCGTGATTGCATCTTCCTGCCTCTTTTAGTGACTGCAGAAAGTTTGAAACAACCTTTAATTCTGCATTGAAAGCCTCTGAACGTGTGATTTTTAAAAAAAACAGAAGCTCTGCTCATTCTAAATGAAGAAACAAGTTTGTGGCTGTATAAATGGTTTCAGGTCCTTTATTATTGTGTTTAAATATGGTGAAAGTAAGTAGAACTTTTGTATTGAACGGTTGCTTGTAAATAAAAATGAATATCCTCTCTGTGTTTAGATATTTATATCAGACCCATCGGTATCTTATCTGAGTACTTTATCCTAATATAGGGGAGCAATCCTGCAAGATCTTAAGGATGTAATTACCCTTGTGTACAGTCCCACTGAAGTCAATAGCAATACATGTGAGTAAAGTTATGCATACGTTTTAAGTGTTTGCAAGTGTGCACAGAATCAGGACTGCAGTCAACAATTAAGAGCTTGGAAATTTAATTGAAAAAAATCAATAAAGCATTTTGAAATAATTGTTTAATTTGTGTCAATTTTTACAAATCTTACATAGTGTTTACAGAACACATTGAATTTTTCCATTTTCAAAATCTTAAATATTTTTAAAAATGAGTTTTTCAGGCAGTTTAGCCACATGGTGAGATTTCTTCTGTTCCCCCCCCCCCCCCCCTTGTTAAAAATATCACTGTTGAAGTTATTTTGAGCACAGAAAAAATGATAAATGAACATTTTAGATTAAAATATTGATAAGAACATGAAGTTTCACAAAACAACATAGAAGCTAGCACATTTTCCACTGGAAACAAAAGTTTAAACTATTTTCAACAAGTTCTCCTCAGAACACACCATTCTAAAACACATATGAACTACTCCACTCTACTCTGGAAAGTTAAAAGAAAAACTGGCTGCTGCAGTGTGCATAAAGAACTCACGAGACAGATCTGGGAGAAAGTAAAGTCCATTCATTCTATTAGCGTGGGACCTTGTAGTAATTTAGAACAGGGCAGCTATCCTTTCTTCTGTTCTCTTCATAGTTGTTTCCTTGAGAGCTTGCACCAGCAGAGCCAGAACCCACATCCTATCTAGTAACAAGTTCATGGTTCAAAATGACAGAGGGAATCTGGCTCATCAAGGAAAAGTCAGTTACAAATGGTCATCTGGATACCTGTAGCTATCTTCTTCAAAACAGTAATTGACAGCTCAGCTGGGGAGAAACACTCAGCAGGAATAAGCTTTATTTGAAAATAAAGTTTTAATTACTAATTGGCAGTTTGAGGCCTCCTACTACAGGTGCCATTTTCAGGGAAAGTGTGATCTGATTTGAACCACTAAGGTCCACATGCAAAAATGTGCATGCAGTTACCCAAGCAATTGCAGGTACACAATTGCACAATCATTTCTGCATGTGGAACTTGTACCTCCTTTCTTGTTTAGCTCTGAAAATATGGGAGTCTAGTCTCAGATTGGAACACTAACAGTTAAATGGATCTACAGTGGCACTAAAATGATGGCACAATAGGCTGTGTGGATCATTTACAAGACAGTCCAGTGTAGTAAGAGGAGGCCCTGAGATATAAACCTTGGTATCAGAGGTCCAGTATGAGGCCTGAACTAAAGTAATGGTCATGACTTTGTTAACATAAAGCAAAGTTAAGCTGTGAGCCAGAGGCAGGCCCTGCTCACAGAAGCTGGCAAGGAAAGGGCTGATGCTGCAAAAAGAGACATACCTAAAAGGTACTGGACACCAGATATCAGAACATACACTATACCGGAACATTCCACAGATAACATGGAACAGGCCGACCCATCCCAATGACAGGGACAAAAGGGTAAAATGATGGATAGAGTTGTTTTGATCGAACCAACATGCACAAGGTGAGAGGCGGCACCTTACTATGTAGAGGGGTTGCACCTCAATAGGTCAGTAGTGATGTGTAACTTGTTTGTACCTGTGTATAAGAATGTATCCCCTGGGGTGGTGTCTTTCTCCAGCCGAGGGGGCAGTGGAGAGTCCCGCCACTGACTGAGCTGAGTCCATTGCCGAGCGGCACTTTCTCGTAGTATGCCACGTAGACTAAGTAATCTGTGGGAACTGCAATTGCGTCAGGGTCGCAATAAACCTGGCTGAGGTGCCTTCGTACCTTACTAGACTGTGGTTATTGGGGGGGGTCTCTTCGGGTCTGCTGGGTCAGCTATCTGCACAGAGCTGGGGCAGCACACAGAGGGAACACATGCACACAGCCGAGTGATATCAACATAGGAGAAAGCAGAGCACCACACCAGTAGCATCTGACAACATCCAGTAGCACTAGCAGCCCTAGAGTCTTGCTCCTCCCTTCTGTCATTTCATTACTTTTTTTCTTTTTCCAGGTTATTTGGGTACTGTTCAAAACTAGGCAGCGTCACTCTCTAGTGGAAAAAAGGGTCCATCTCTTGCAATGGCAGGCAGTACTGTACACCTTCTTCAGCAGAGGACTGAGGCTGTCCCCACCAAGCCTTTGCAGCAGTTGAAGCAAAGTTGGCTAGGGAAAGGCTCTCTCTTTGCTCCTCGCTCTTCATTGGGAAAGAAGTTGCAACACTTCCACTTCTTATTGGGTGGAGTATCTCTTGGAGGGAAGAGAGCAAATGAATGTCTTACAGTGGAAGCCTAAATTGGAGAGATTGGGGGTGCCTGGACACCAGATTCTGCATAGGAAGCCAAGCATCGGACAAGGGGTGTTGCCATGGGGAAGAGTTTGCATGGAGAAAAGTGGACCGCTTGTTGTATCTGGAAGATAGGAATCCAGCCACCAGCTGCCTCTCCTACTATTACTGAAGAGTAGAGATTTGTGGCAGACATCACCTCTGCTGCATCTTGGTCTTCTGATAACATTGAGTGACTGAGGCAAAAATAGTAAGGCCCAGGAGTCATCTCTGGCTCTCGAACATCCAAAATGCACTTTCCCAGGTATCAAAGAGGCCTTGTTCCTACATTCCCTGGAGGCGTTTTCATGGTAGGAGAGCGGGCAGTATTTCAGTAACTATACGTTTCTTCTATACACTGGAACTTCTAATGTGAGCTCAGACTCCCCATCTTTTCAAAAGTGTGATCCTCCACTGGAGTAAAACCCCATTTTACTGCCTGTTGTGATCTTGTCAGTTTTAAATGTTATTCCATTTCCTGTTATTTTATTTTTTCAAAGGTCTTCTGATAACAGCCCCAGAACCAAACTTGAGTGCAACACCCCCAATAAATTAAATAGTTTAATATATTTAACACCATTATAAATGCTGGAGACAAGCGGGATTTGGGGTGGAGGTTGATACCTCATGACCCCCCTGAGGGGTCCCGACCACCACTTTGAGAATGCCTGAGTTAGGTTTTTATTTACTGAATTGGGTATGAAATGTACTTTAAAAAGATGTACTGAGTCCCAATTTATTCTAAGCTTTTCCTACTGTTTTTGCAATGACAACACCTAGCTGCAAAGGACTTGTCCTTATGTACAATGCTACAGCGGCACAGGGTGCAGCTGCACCGCTGTGCCAAAGGGAGCGCTCTCATCAGCGTAATCATCCACCTTGAGAGGCGGTAACTATGTCGAGAGGAGAAGCTCTCTCCTTGACATAGCGCTGTCTCCACAGGGGATTAAGTCGTTATAACTACATCACTCAAACAATGTAATTATACAGATATAGGCCTGTAGTATAGACCTGGCAAAGAAGTTATCAGAACCTTCAGTTTTGGCAGCAGCTTTTGACACCTAAAGGTGCGGCAGTTTGGGATCAGCACATTAAACTAGATGTCTTTTCTAAAGACATGAGCAATGAATAGTTGAGTGCTGATTTTTATAATCAAGTTTGAATTCACACTCTATGGCAGGTATCAGTGCAATAGTTTACAACTGGTTTGCATTTTTAAGGTTAATTTTTACAGCACTGACCACCAGACAATTTTAAAAAGGCACACCAGCTAAGAGTCTCAGGAAACATTACTCAATGACTCCCCCTATGGACTATTTTAAAGATGGTTTGAATTTACTTTCTAATCAACAGCCCTATTTAGCCAGTAAGCCTTAAGACCACAACACTGCAGTAAGCAGGAAGGCACAAAGTATTTTAACCCTAATAATTGTCTAACACACTGATGAGGGAAGGAAGAGATGGAAACTACTCCGAAACATGTTTGAGAGGTTACTTTAGAAAGATGACAGCTGTTTGGAGATTTGCAATATTAAAAACAGGTACACTAGTAGCAGTATTGAAGCAGATCAATAAGCTCACAATCTAAACCACAAAAACTGTAAAAATTTAATCACATGCCTATTGCCATATAAACATGTACTGCAAGCTTCAAATCTGGGGCCCATTACAAGGCCTCAAGATCACGTGTGTGAGAGAGTTTTATATTTTAGCTGTTATGGACAACTATAGTATCTAGGTTTAAAAACTGATGCAAATAATTGTACTGTTTTAATCTTTGGTGTTGAAAAGACAATTTTTCTTCCTCCTAAAGACCTATATTTGGAACTTAAGGTCACCTGACAACACTCCTTTGTCTACTAAGACATCATTCTTCCACAAAAATACACACTCCCCTGGTTTAGAGAATTATCAATGCCTAGCGAAAAGATGTTCAGTCTATCTTAAACGTGTGGTTCATCAAAGGGAAACACCTAGCTTTAACTGTTTCTCCAGAGTTAGTATTTCCAAACTAGATTTTACAATTGAGGAAATGTAGTAACCCAGGGATCTAGACATTTAATACTTTAAAAAACAAAACAAAAAACACAAAACACCTTTTTTTTTTTGAAGGGGGGGAGCATAGCAGTGCCATGGTTTTTTTGTGGACCCCATGAGTTTGTTTTTCAATGCCTACCAGTAATTTGCATCCACAATTACCATGATTGCCTCAATAAGCAATCATTCCTTCATAGTTATTTGCATTCAACTGCATGTTTTAAAAATAAATCAGACCCTGAATTTTTTTAGTTTTAAAGATAACCTGTTCAGAGAAAAAAATTAGTGATTAGTGTGCCACCTTTATCCTTCCATGAGTGCTCATCCCTCTCTAGCGAAGAAAGCCCCACCAGCACACCTCAAGTTGCTCACCTAAACTAGTGATATGGATTCTTTGGTAGCAGAATTCTGGGTACTGAAAACACAGCTACTGAACATAATCAAGAGTCCATTGGGCTGACTTTGGTGGTCAGCTGACAAGGTGAGTTGAAAGGGGTGTGGTATAACTATTCATGTTAATTAAAACTTGTTCCCCAATTCCCACACGTTCTCTTTTTATATTATGGTCAGTTTTGTTAAACAGCTTTACATAACTACAGAAAACATGTACAAGAATGGAGGCAGGTATAGAACTAAGCTGAGATATTATTTGGTAGTTAAGAAATGCGTTCAAAACCAGACATTTCAAGAGTTCCATTAACCTTACACTTGCTTAACAATTATGAAATGCTAAGACTAGCACCAGAATTTAGAAGAGAATTACTCGTAACGTACATAGTACAAAGGTTCATTGTATTATATGTAACTGTAGTCACTCCCATCAGAGATCAGCACTATTCCAAGCAAAAACTGGATTTTGTTAGTATTCCAGGAGTTGTGCACCTTTAATATACATATTAATATAGAAGTCTACAACCCATGTACAATATGATAAGCATGACCTAAAATTCTACAGCAGCACTCTTACTACAAATTGTGTAGACTCAAGCTATGTCCACCATTCAGAACTTCCCCGCACACTAATCTCCTGGCCTAGTTGAAAGTGAAAATTTTTTGCATCCACAATGCCTACATCAACTGTAGAAGTGGGGGAAGCTGGATTTTTATAACAGGTAGATACTACGCACCAGGGAACATACACATTGGAGTTTGGGCACACAGGATGAACACTAGGTAGATATTTTGCTTAACCTTTAGAAGTTTTAGAATTAGTCCCCCCACCCCAACTGAATGAATAACATACCGCTACACTTGTTTCTGTAAGATCTAGTTAAAATGCAGTGTTGAACTCAGAATTTGTATAGTACTACACACACACACACACACACACACACACACACACACACACACACACACACACACAGTTAGTACCTTCATTTCAAGCCATCCTTTGTCTGGACA